CAAGATGTCACTGATACCAGTATTGTTGTAATGTTGGCATAGATACTGGTCACTTTTATTGGACGTGGGGATATATAAGACTTCTTTAAAAACAAATTGTAAATTGCTGAGAGATAATTAAGGCCTGCAGACCCTCTTACCCTTCAGAAACTAAGCCAGTGTCTTCTGTCTTAAGCACTGAGGATTAGGAGCAATTTATTTTTCACAGAAATAAGTGATTCTATCCAAAGGCAGTTGAACCTTCTTTGAAGTCTCTGGTATCTCCAAAAAAGAACACCAGACTAAACGGACCTCTGGTTTCATCTAGTTGGGAATGTTCTGCATCCTATAAAGTGTAACGACAGATAATTAATAGAATAACCAGAAGATTCAGAGAGGATGGCAGGCAGGGCTCTCATAGGAGGTGTCAGTCCTGGCAGAAGTCAGTTACTTCATTGCAGTAAGCAAATCAGGCTGGATTCTCTCCATGGTGCAATAACAGTAGATTGGGGAGCATGCAAAGCAGCATCAATACATAAAAATTAAACTACTTTTAATATACAAAGCTGAGTTTAGATAAATGCAGAACAGAGAAGCAAAGGCATAATATTCTCTGAAAGTGCAGCCTTTTAACGCTGTTTTGGAGACTAATTTGCATACAAATAAAATGTCAGCTTATCCCATAACTGTCATGATAAATTGGAGCACTTAGATTTTTGCATGAGATGCTCCTTCTGTACCTTATTAAATTATGGGATCTTGGCCTTTTGCCAAGTGCTAGGATGATGCTTTCTTTACTGAAATATATACAGGAGAGAGTTATGGACCTGGAACCTCTGGAGAATCCAGGTTCAGTCACTAGCCAGGAGCTCTGCCTGCACAACACCTAGAACACTTTGAATTTTTCATTTCTCTGTAGATAATTTTATTTATGCATAAAATGGCAGTGATGTTAGTTTTCCTGTTTCACAAGCTTCGTGGAGTTTTAATTAGTTGTCACATGTACAGAGTGCTTTTAGGTGCTTGATTGGAAGCAAGGGCAAAGTGAATCTTGCCTTGTTGGGCTCTCCCATCCTGGATGGATGGCAGTGGAGGGCAGGTAGGAACAAGCTCTGCAGCAGGCCAGTAAGAAATGTAGAGAAGCAACCTGCTGTACTCAGGAACTTGTAGATAAAAGCATTTTTTTGACTTCTTCATTTTGGTTGCAAGATAGCATAAAATTCTCCTTCATGTCACCTCTTTAGACATACCACCTTTTGACTTCAGTTTCTCCTGAAAGTGTCTGTGTGATTACCCCAAGAGTGAGCTTAAAATTAAATAAGTGCCTGGAAGTGGGCTTAAACAATCTATTTTGAAATGCTACTCCTAAACTCTCTTGAAATAACCAAGTGTCTGCTTTATACCCATAGAAAAGGTTAGATTTATTCCAGTGGCTAGGTGACTACTGATGTGTGCTGTGCTCTGAAGCATAAGGTAATAGAAAAGATCATTGTGAATTAATTCAATGCGAATTAATAAGAGATTTATCTGATGAGAGTTGTTTGAAGGTGATAGCACTTTGTAGCTGAACAGGTTTTAAGATGTGCAATAGTGCAACTTTAGAGATTTGAGAACGATCAATGCTGGGAAAGTAAATACAAATGGAAGGAGCAAGCTTGAACAGACCACAGCTCTTTTCACTTTTCTCTTTGTTGTAGACTTGTGGGGGAAAAAAATTGCAAACAGCCCTTGGCAAATTGGTGATCAGGGGCTAAAATGAAGAGCCTGAAGATGCAAATGAGTAGTAGAGGAGGAGAAAAAACAAGTGTTTTGCTATAATGCTGTTCTACTAATACAACACTTAAGGCACGTTTTTTTCTCCTTGCATTTTTTAGATTGATGAAGCTATGATAATTTCAGTGGAGCATGTGGAGTGTAAAATATCAAACAGATGTATTTTGTCCAATTACAATGTCTGATCCTGCCTAATTTTACTGATAACCTGGAATCATGTTCTACCTTAGCAATTTCAGGCAGGAAAGAGTTGACATGCTGTTTGAGGGGCTTGCAGAAGAACATGTGGAGATTAAAAACTCCTTTGGAATAAACTTGTCAGTTGCTTAGAGCTGTGACATCTTCTGAAGACACTTGTGCCAAAGCAGAAAGGAGGTGGTCTTATTGAAGAGGCAGTTGCTTGTCATTAAGCTTCTTCTGCCCTCCCATTGTTTAGGGCCTGACTCTTGGGTTCCTTACACAAAAGAGGTTGTTCTTTCCTTCCCTTCTCAGCAGAGAAAAGTTAGGCAGGGCCATGTGTTGGTTGTTTGCTAGCAGGTTGCTCTGAGAACCACGAGAAAAAGTGGGAGAGAAGCATGGTGTGTGAGTGCCTCCTGCTCTGTGTCCCCGCCGGAGATGGCAGGGATGTGAAGCTGTGCGTGTCCCTTTTCTGTCATTTCATTGTGCAAGTGTCCACAAGGGAAGGTAGAAGGGCAGCAGCTTTGGCCAGTCCTCTGCCACTGTGTCTGAGTCTGGGGTAGTTTGCATCTAAAGTAATCTGTGAGGGCAACAATTTCACCTAGAGTTTCCAGTGTTATTTACAGATTTTTTTTTTAATTTTTTTTTTTTTTTAACGCTTAAATTAGAAAACATGACTTTGAATTGTGGGCTGTACTAATGAGGTTGTTAAGTTTCTGGTTGTGCTCGGCACAGGTCTGGGCCAGCCCGGCGGGACAGGCTGCCCGGCAGGGCTGGGTGCCGGGTGGCTCTCCAGGGACGGAGCCGCCGAGACGCTTTCCCAGAAATTCAGTCTCAAAACAGGAGCGCTGTGCCTTCGGAGCTCGTGTGCCTTACAGCTGCTCGATTGCTGTATGGAGAGTAGGGGGGAGGCTCCAGATTGATTAGGACTTCATGTGCTTGATAGAAGCCGGCACTTTGAACACTTAGGGGATTTTATATGAAGAACAGCAGACAGTCTTTGTAGTCTATTTATGTGTAATAAACTGGGTTTTGTTTTGTGTCTTGTGTTTTTTTTTCTTTATTTTTTTTTTCTTTTTTGAAAGAAAAAGAAGTCTAAAAAGGAGAGAAATTAAAACCACAGCGTTATTTTCCCATGCAGCTATAGCAAGTATCCTGCGATCTCACATGATCGGCTGTCCTGCTGGAGTGGAGTGTGGGAAGGTGTCAAAATATGTCTCTCAATCTCTCAAATTTTTTTTTTTCTTAAAAGGGAAAGCCAGATGAATGCCAAAAGCCCTGCTCTCTTCTCTAGCCCTGCAGTAACAAACTACATGAGTATATGCTATTAAGATGATAAAGATTAAATTTCTAGTTACTAACGTGCTATCACAACAGCAAAGGGGGAAAAAAATCTTGAAAAAATTATGAAAATTAGTCTGATGGTGTCCTTTTAATAATAAAATCACTCCCAACCCCAACAGACAGTGTAGGCTGGAATTCCACAGGGCTTTTTTGTGGTCCTAATGATTTTAATAATACTTTGTGCTATGTAGCACCTTTCATTAGAGGATCACAAAGTGCTTTACAGTCACTAATTAATTAAGCCTCACAACACTCCTGTGAGATAGGTAAGTATTACACATATATTAAGCTGAGACACTGAGAGTTAATGATTTTTTGCTGCATTATTCTGGGAAAATGATTGATGTTCAAGCACCGTATGTGCATTATATGTCTTTGTGTGGGTGTGTAATATATATGAGTGTAAAAGTATTAATTTTACGATCCCTTAACAAAGATGTCCTACTTGAGCCTGTTGAATATAAATGTGTATTTTCATTTAACTTTTTGTTGCTGCAGTGTATTAACTGATACTATCACAGTCTTCATATACCCTTGACTCAGTCTGCTCTTGGTCTGCTTGTGCATCTACTTATACAAAGATTAGTCAGTGTCATCTCATAAAATTCAAACGTATTTCTAGATGGATTATTCTGTTAAAAAGAGCATATGACTAAGATCTGACCTAAACCTGCAGCACAAGCACTAGGCAACAACCATTCTGTTGCAATAGGCTTTGATGACAAGCATCACATTCAGTAAAAGTAATGAGCAACAACAATGACCCACTGGGGAGCTGGTGATCAGCAGGTAATTAGCCATTATCTTCACCACTCTTAAGAAACTATTGATTACCAGAATTTTTCTTTTTTTTTTTTTTTTTTAACGAAGTACAGTAGTCACTATGGTAGTTAATTATCCTGAATTTCGAAGTGATTTTAGCAGAAGTTTTTGTTTCCAGGCGTAAATTGATGCGAGTGACTGTTGAACAGAAAATTGTATCTTGCAGATGTATGAACCTCATAGAGTAGCCTTGGCTGTTTTTGAGGGAAAGTACATATAGCTGCAACCTGGGCCTTATCCAAAATTCCCTCAGCTCGAGAAGTCCTTTAATTCACATCAGTTTTAGTATTTCTTTTATTTTGGGCAGATCACTATTTTCAGTGATGAAAAGGTAGTTCAGTCCCAAAGCCTATTTCTCACTTGGTTTCTTTACTAGCACCCAACAAATGTGCTTACTATTGTGATGGCATTGCAGAGATGTGGGAAGTTGCCTGCCTGCTAACAACGAAAGTAACACCACTAATTTTGTTTGAAGTGGAACAGAAGGCAGCCAGCAGAGGTTAACTTACAATGGCTGATGGAGTTATTTAGATGCGTTAACTATCCCATTAGGCCAGTCCCATGATGATGCGTGAATTTTTAAGACACTTTCTTTTTACAGCTCATTTTCAACAGTTACTTTTAACTTGTTTTAGACTTTGTGTTTGGTAAACATTATCTCTGAGATTTTTTTTGGGTCTTTTTGTGTGAGTGCCTTGTGTGTGCCAGAGCACGTGTGTCTGAGGAGAAGAGAGCTACGAGATTTCTCATGTTTGAGGGAAATAGAGAACAGCAGACTCTATTTGTATAGTGCCCAGTAACAGATGCATGGGGATGTACAATAGGTATAATAATGTTTTTAAGTAAACACCATTTTTGAATGCATAATTTAGGAAGGAAAATCTTTTTTTTGTTTTGTTTTGCAGATATACAGATCAGCTCTCAAAATGTCTTCTGTGTCTTCCGTGCATCTTCTAAGACAATTGCATTAGCCCGCCTGCTAGTTGACTAATAGAATTAATAATTGTAAAAAGCACTCTAAAGCCACATGCCTTATGAAGTCAATGCTGGGTATGATTTTACAAGTATGTGATCTATTTTTTCAAGTGAAATTGTTAACCGAAAACGTTCTTGGCACACAATAAAACATTGTGCAATCTGTTATTTGTCTTAGAGATAATAATTTCAGAGTGGCTATATTCTTTCTGTATCTAACTTATGACTTGCTAGGGGATGGTTTCTTCAATTTAGGAGTATTGCAAATGTAGTTTTATTTACATAATATGTCTCTGAAAAATGATAGTGGTGGAATTTCAGCAACAAAAAAATCCCTGTGTCTTTTCTTACCGTCCCCTTGAGTGGATATCAAACAAATAAATGACAGATGATTTTTCAAAAGCTAAAAGAGAAAAGAAGGGAAAATACTTTTAAATTCAACTTAAGGAAGTCAATGTTATCTTCTCTCTTCTTTCCTTTCTTTCTCCAATTGTAGAATACTGCATGAAAAAGCTCCATTAGGCAGATACGGTTTTCTTTTTTCTCCTCCATTAACAACCCAGACTGACAAATGTATTGGGAAAATTAGAACTAAAGTAGCTAGATCTACACTCCAGTTAGCCTGTATGCAGTCCAGATTTCTCTTTTCTTTAAAGGGACTTTTTTCTGTCCTTTTCTCTGACTCTTCCATCAGTTGTCATTAAGATAGCAAATCTCTAAGCCTTCCTTATCTGCCAAAAATATCTGTAACAAAAACATTTTAGAACATTGCATTTAGTCTTGTTTAATTTTGACTGAGGTAACAGTCACGATGTTTACTTTCTCAATTTCTGATTTTTCTTCACTGCAGTCAGGACTTCTTTCTCTGTCATCTGCCACGAATTGCATTTAAATGGAAGGGATTTATTTTAAAAATGGTTTGGGATGTGTAGCCGGGAGAAAAATGCATACTTAACACCTACCAGAGATGCTCACAGATATTTTTAGTGTGTATTGACCAATAGCATTCATGGAGTCTCACAGAGAAGTAGCAATGCTGAAAGGCTGACTGTCTTCATACCTTGAATTGCATATGTGTGCATGTTGTTTTAGTAGGCTGAATCTATATTGTAATAGTTCTCTCACCACAGCAGAAAATATTTCTCTGAGTTCTGAGCGACTTCATGGTTCAGAAGTTAATGGGGAAAAGGAAAGTCCAGTTTAGTTCATACATCCCCTGGCAGATGGAGTTGATACCAAAGAGAAGACATTTGGTTCCCAAGCATACGTGTCTTCTACAGTAAGGAATCGCAGTAGGCATTTAAGAAATATTAAGACCACACGGAGTGTCAAAATTTCTGTAACACGAGCTGGCATTCTGTGTGAAAGCCGCCTTGCTGTAGCCCATGCTGCCTGTGGATCAGCTCAACCACAAAGACAACAGAGCCAGCCCAAGACACAAGTTGAACATTTCCCCTAAGAAGTTGTCTGTTTTTATCAACAGAGCATATAGTGCCCTTTCATGTGGAGCAGATGGAAATAAGAGGATATACAGATGCCTGTTCTTTTATTTTTAGCCTCTGTCCCCAGCCTTGCTTCTCAAAGTACTGTTTTGAGAAGGTTGTCCGCGGCTCTCAAGGGTCTGGATGCAGCACCATTTGGAGCACATCAGTGCTGCTCCCAGCGTCACCAGGTGGTCCTGCCTTGGCAGAGCAGTGTGTATCTCCAGTGCCTCTGTAGGGCCTGGCCAGGGTTGGCCTGGGAATGGCGGCTCACACTTGAGTCTGTAGCTCACATCTCATGTGTGGTACTGCAGGCTGCTGCCACCAGACCACACACACTTTGGCAAAGAGAAACATCCATCCTTGTATACAGCATTGGCAAAGATTAAGAGCATAGAAATGTTGGGGCACATCTGTCTTCTGCCCATAGCTAGCATGTGAACACAAATTGATCAAACCAGCTGGTGCTGAATATCAAATCCAGAACCACACAGTTGAGAAAGCAGAGGAGTTTCAAATATATATAATTTCTCTTAAATAGGGTGGGCAAGGTGAAGTGGACGAGGAATTTGACTGAGTACCTGCATGGTGTGATTACTTGTCCTTCCATAATCTCACCCATTCAGAAAGCAGCTAACTCATTGGTGGCAGACTCCCCCTTTCTCTCTGATCCTTATTGCTGTCCTGTCTCAGCTTTCTTAAATGGATCCTGGAAGTGTACTTGCAGATTTAGCAGTAGTGGCTATGTCTGCAAGGAGAACTGAACAGAGGAAGGTTTGGCTGATTAGATCCATGTGGATTCCAGGTGTTTTCAGGGCAGATCCTGGCTCAGCCACATAGTGATGTCAAATGTCTGGATCCAGGCCTGTAACGTTTTATTGACAATGGGTTTCCTAATAAAGTTAGTTTTTCTTTGTTTGGCAAATAGAACTAATTACATGAATAATGGACTGTGGAGCCAGGCTCTAGAATATCTGTTTAATCCTGTTTGAAGTTTATGGGCAGTAGGAGGGGGAACTTTTGCTATAGAGAAACTGATACCTGCTTAGGAAAATACTTTCTCTGAAACCTCAAGTACTTACTCTACTAAATCTGTTTTCTTTCTAATAACTTCTTTAAGTTCTTCTTAAGTTTATATATTTTAGGTGTATTTTTGCAAAGCTACATTATATGTAGTTGTACTGTGTATGAACGTTAGACTTCAAAAGTTTTTTTTCCCCTTAGTTTTCTAAAATTATTTTAAAAGAAGCATTCATTTAAAATTCTTCCTGCCACACCATTATTATCTCAAAAGATCATAAAACCTGCAATTCACTGGCTCTCATGGAAGTGTTTTTGTAGATTTTTTATAGTTCTCTTTTTAGTTTAGTCTCAGTGTGCTAATTTTTTAAAAGTTTTCTGCATAGTTTAAAAATCTATTCAACAAAAATTTTCTGATAAGCTAATGTACTCAATGTATTCATATAGTTCAGAATGCTTTTAAAATTGTCAGGTTTTTGATCTGTTACATATCTTGTATATCTTGAATAATTCTATAGGGGTTTTTTTTCTTTTTTTTTTTTTTTTTCTTTCTTATTTCCTTTTCTGTGGTAGATATGGTCCGGAAAAAGAATCCCCCTCTAAGAAACGTTGCTAGTGAAGGTGAGGTACAGACCCTTGAGTCTACAGGTACTGAAGGTGAAGAGTCCGGAAGGAAAAAAGAATTTTCTGCAGAGCAGATGCAAGAAAACACTGACCAGGGTGATGCGGCAGAGTTAAGTAACAAGGAGGAACTTTGCATGCATGTCCAAGAGCCATCTTCCAGTGTTAAAAAGGACTTGAAAAGCTCAGTGCTGAGTGAAAAGGCTGGCTTCAATTATGAAAGCCACAATAAGGGAGGAAATGTTCCATCCTTCCCTCATGATGAGGTGACAGACAGAAATATGCTGGCTTTCTCATCTCCAGCTGTTGGGGGAATCTGTGAGCCCTTGAAGTCTCCTCAAAAATCAGATGCAGATGACACCCAAGATGTGGTCTGTACCCCGTCAGGAGATGCAGCGGAGACAAATGAGGAGCATCAGATGTCGCCAAAAGCTTCAGATGAAACAGTGCAAGTGCAAAGTGGTCAAACTGATGGCCAAGGCTCAAGCCCGGTCCCCATGGCCTCAAAAAACCCACAAGTGCCTTCAGATGGGGGTTTAAGGCTGAACAAATCAAAAGCAGATTTGTTGGTAAATGATAATCCAGATACAGCGCCTCTGTCTCCAGAGCTTCAGGACTTCAAATGCAACATCTGTGGGTACGGTTACTACGGGAACGACCCCACAGATCTCATCAAACACTTCCGCAAGTACCACCTAGGACTGCACAACCGCACCAGGCAGGATGCTGAGCTCGACACTAAAATTTTGGCTCTCCACAACATGGTGCAATTCAGCCACTCCAAAGACTTCCAGAAAGTCAACCGCACTGTGCTTTCAGGGGTACTGCAGGACATCAACTCCCAGAGGCCTGTCTTATTAAATGGGACTTACGATGTGCAGGTTTGTATGCTCCAGCCTCCCTGCTTCTGCCCACTGCCTTCTCAGCTGCAAAGCCAGATCTTGCAAAGCCTTTCCTGCCTACATGATTACTGTATCTCATATAACCTGCTTAAGCCTCTAGAACCATTTTGTCTATTTTAGCCAGGCTCTCTGTAGGTCTGCTGAGCATCTTGTACAGTAGAGGAGTGTTTGGCTTTTTGACCAGTGACATTTCTGTGTAGGATTTAGTTGTTATGGTAATCAATAGCAAGAGATCTTATTCAGCAAACAGGCAAATAGCTGAATTGGTAATCATATCTGAAGGATTTACTGTCACAGAAAGAAAAGAGCAAATAATAATGAAAAATAACAACCAGATAGACAAAAGACAGCAGCTGGAAATTAAAAATGTAATCCTAAATTATCATCTGCTGGGAGTCAAGATTTGGCTTATTGATTCTTTATTAAGATGAAATAAATGGCAAGTCTTGGCAGCTCTGAAATTTTCTAGTGCCAGAAAAATAGGATACACAATGGATATTTAAAACATTTCAAAAAGTAACAGTAATCCATGCTGTCCTTCACGTTAGTAAGCCTGTAAGAAAAGGATTATTGCCTCAGTCATTCTCATCTAGTGCAAGTAGGAAAAAAACTACAGATAATACTGGAAAAAAATCTTATTTTTACCATGAAGGAGTGAACTCAAAAGTTTTTCATGGACTCTCTGTTAGTTTCTTATCAGCTAGTATTTAATTAGTTTAAAAAATTGATGGTGCTTTAAAAAAATCTTTAGATTAAGCTGCGAGATAGAGTAGGATATTTCAGTACTATATATGATACAAAAATTCATATTTTTAAGAAGAATTAAACCAAAGTAATGAAGTTTGCATACAATACATGCTCAAATGTCCATCCATTTTCACGTGACTGCATACATAGAAACATTGCAGTAATCACCTGATAAAACTCCCAGGATATGTTAAAATAAAAAGGTAGAAAGGTGAAAATATTTAATTATGCTTGCAGAAACTGTAGCTATAGGATAGAAATTTTGCAAGACAGGTTAAGATGGCTAACATCTAACTTCAAGGAAGAAACCAAAAACAGAAAACAAGTCAGGAACTTGAAGCTTTTCAAATGATTTAAAGTTTTCCTCTTTTTAAAGAAACTCTACAATTTCTTTGTGGAACAGCAAATCCGACTAAGGTCGTTACTATGTGTAAAAGCTGCAATCTTTGAACTGCTGTCTTACTAAAAGATCCTGTCTCATGTCAGGCACTCTCTCCTGTCAGACTCTGATTAGAAAGCAAATACGTGATGTAGTTGAAAGAGGTTAGAAGTGAATAATGTCAGATTGTGAAATGATGATTTATAATTAGCACATGGTATGATGTTAATACCTGGATTTCCTGCTATAGTTTCAGTTTGCTGACTCCAGGGACAGCATCTTAGAGCAACTGATCCATGCTGTCAGGAAGACATTCAAACTGGAGCAGCTCAGACATACAGTATAGAGGAATTTGAGTTTCTAAACACACTTTCATTTCCTCCAAACAATTGTTTCGTTAGGTCCTTAGTTATTTATAGGAAAGTTTATGCTTGATTAGAATGAGCTGGACGCTTTTCCTTTGCAGTGCTCTCAGAAATAAAACAGATGTGTGAGCTATCTCAGTTTGAACTGATAGAATGAGAAATAAAACAGCTGAACCTAGACTATACTTGTCTACTAAACTCTGGCAGTAAGATACTGCAGGGGAGACAAAAAGTGGTAGGAAACAGCCCATAGATAATCTACTTAAGATCAGTCTTTTCTCAGACAAAAAATATTTTCCAAAATAGAACAGACAGTCTATACAATGTTGGCTATTTATTTGAAAGATAAAAAAATCCTGGATCTAGAAAGTTAATTTTTAAGGGTGCTAGTTTTCCCTGGTCAGTTTGGGAATGGAAGATTAAATAAGCTTTTGTGGCAAATGCCATACTTCATAAATGGCACATGTACCAGATGTTGATAAAGAACATGTCAGAAGATAAGTAACTGATTAATATTTTAATGCATTCTCCTCCCCCATTCCTGATTCATAGCAGCTTTGTGAATTCATAAACAAAGTAAAAGAACATTTGAAAATCCCCTTTGCACCCACACATGTTTATATTGCTCCTGTATCCATTTTGGAGGTTTTTTCCTCATGTATCTGAGTGGCTGGTGTTTCCCACCACAACAAGGGATTCTATTGATTGTTGCTTCAGTTAAAACTAGTTCAGTCAAACTCCTGTATAACATGAGAGGGAATTGAACCTGAATAATTGGTTCATGTTAACACTATTATTTTGTATAGGTACTGGGCTAAATGAAAATAATCCCTTTGTAATTAACTTGAAATAGTAATGAACTGGGCTTAGGATCTGATTTATTGATCCCCTTGCACTTAGCAAACTGTTCTGTTGTAGTTGAACTGGAAGTTATTGATAGATTTATGGTCTCAAGCCATGGAACTGGGCACAGAAGCCAGAGGATGAAGATGACTGACTTTGATCTGGCTCATGGTAGTCAGTTCAATGTGGTGGTGTACGAAGATTTGTAGTAGTGAGGGATGTTATGGAGCCCCATAGTTTGCATTCATAACAAAGGCAAACAAAAAGCCATAGGAAAATGTCTGAGTGCAGGAAAATACAGTATCTCCTATCCTATCTTTAGAGATCTAGGGATGTGGTCCATTTGCTGAGGGCTTGGAAAAAGAAATCAAATGCATTTTTGGACTTGTATCACAGAAGTGAAGTTAAACATCACCAACATCCAAAAAACACCCTCCCAACCCTAAATGCAGCTTTTAGGGGGTGTAATCAGCAAAACTGGAGATATTTGGCTTCATGTGCAGGTATTCAGATATTGGGAGTGTATTTTCTAGTACCTAAAGTGGATTTGTCTGGGAACGGTGTAAATAATCCAATCATTCTGGCACTCCTATCGTGCAGATTTTTACTTGATATGAATATTTAATCTAACAAGATTCCTTTGTCTTGTTTGAAATTGTTATTTTCTGTTGAAAATCTGTACTCTTTGTTCCCATTTTTCGCTTCAAAGGTTCATTTTTGGTTCATTGAGTTATAATAAATTCTATAGGATTGGATAAAATCACTGAGCTGTTTCTGAGAGATTAACTTTCTTGCCAGTATAGATTTCAGAAAGCATTCACTATCACCTCTCTGAATTCCCAGGGAATGTGTTAATCAGCTTTATAGCTTTTATCAAAATAATATTTTGAAGTGAGTTCAATGGATCTTTTGCTGATGTGCTCCCCATTACTTTTTCTTCACATTTAGTTAATTGATCAATCTCTATAGGCAACTTTATCTTGCTGGATATTTGAGTCTATGTAAGGCTGTATGGCTGTGTCTAAAGCAGTAACCTTTATATTGGATCTAAAGACTTCACTTACAGCAAAATTCATGTGACTAAGTTAACAGCTATGTTGCTGAAAGCTATTGCCTTTGCTGTATGATTAAGTCTCCTCTGATTTAATGACTCTTTAATGTATATGTTAAAGTCTGCAGATAGGCAAGTTGCTGGCAAGTAGAGAGCAGGCAGTCTTTTCTAACCCCCAATTTTTTAATGGATGATAAGAGGGACAGCTTCAACAGGAAGGTTGGAGAGTGCTGTCTTCCACATAGCAGCCTGTAGCTAAGGCGTAGGACATGCCCAGCAAAGGTGAAGAAGCAGGCTTGGATCCCTTCTGACAGAGCAAGGAAAGGGACCTACTTTTCCTGTTTCCTGAGCAAGTGTTCAAGCCATTAGGCTATTGTGTAAAAGGGAGCATGACCCCGTTTCCTGGTGTGTTTTAAAAGAGAGTAGTGTCCCTCAAAGAAACGACAGAAATGTCTGCGTTCAGGTAAGGATTTCAGATGGCATTTCCCAAGGGAGAAGGGTATTTATGCAGCCATGAATAAAGACATACTGCAGTGCTCAGCAGTTCTTATGGTTGCTTCATATTATGTATCCTACCTTTGAGGTACTTCCTGCTCAGCATGGCCCTGGTTCTGGAGCTCATTGGCACAGATCTACCTCCTCTTCTATTCAGCCATTAAAAAGATTCAGACTCTACAAAACCCCAATTTTTAAAAATTTAGTCCTCTGATTTTGATTGTTTCATAATTTTAGATCTTGACAGACATATAAGAAGACAAATTTCTGAAAATGCATGGACTGATAAGTGGCATCGTTAAGTTTGTTGATTGCATTTCAATGCACCTGGGGGTGGGGGGGAGGAAACCAAAAGGAGTGAATGACTGCGTTATCTACTACCCCACAGAATAATAAGAGGTTATCAGCAGTTGTTTTCTTCTAGGGTTATAGACATCCAGTATTGTAAGAGTTGTCCTATGCTGCTCAGCCTAATGCTTTGTCATATGTGAATCACAGAATGATTTGAGTTGGAAGGGGCCTTAAAGCTCATCTAGTTCCAACCCTCCTGCCGTGGGCTGGAACATCTTCCAGTAGACCAGGTTGCTCAGAGCCCCATCCAATCTGGCCTTGAACACAACCAGGGATTGAGCATCTCTGGGTGGAGCATCTACAGTTTCTCTGGATAACCTGTTCCGGTGCCTCACTGTGCTCCTAGTGAAGAATTTCTTCCTAATATCTTATTTAAACCAATCCACTTCTAGTTTGAAGCTGTCACCCCTTGTTCTGTCACTACACACCCTTACAAAAAGTTCCTCTGCAGCATTCTTGTGCCCGTTTAAGTACTGCAAGGCTTCTATAAAGTCTCCCTAGGGCTTTCTTTTCTCCAGGCTGAACAGCCTGTCTTCATAGGAGAGGTGCTTCAGCCTCCTGATCATCTTCATGGCCTCCTGTGGACTCACTCCAGTAGGTCCATGGCTGCCGTATGCTGGGAGCCCCAGAGTTGGATACCCATCCGCAGATGGACCAGGTGGGGTCTCATGAGAGTGGAATAGAGGGGGAGAACCACCTCCCTTCACCTACTGGTTACATATAATATATACATATAAGTATATATATA